TGAGAGGTTGACAGTAGTACTGTGTTGCTTAAAACTATATTTGATTTTAAACTTTAAACTTTACATAACCGTATTAAGCTCAAGTAATACGAAATGTGGTTTATTCCAGAATGTTCGAAATTGTCTTTCAATGGTTGATTTTCCCAAATAATTTTTTGACGATCATATTAACCAATTTTAGATATCATTTTTATAAGTATTATTAAATCATGTATGGTATGGATTTTTATGTATAGAATGTATGGTTCCATGATATTTTCCATACAGGTATGATCATTCGCCGCAAAAACAATACCGGTATGGAATTAAAATGATCGGATTTGATTTGAACAGAATGCCAATAATTAAAAACACAAAGAAAAAATAATAAGTCGCGTTGGTAGTTGTTTTGTTTAATTCATTATATTTTAATGAGTAAAATCAGGCATTAGGTTTAAGAAAATTTATAAAATAGTAGTTTGATTTATTAATGCAATAAAAAGTAAAAATTTTGCATTTATCAAATAGATTAATCGAATTAAAAAATTGAAAACACTTAATTTCTGAAATTTAGAATATCCATACATGTATGGAAATATTTGTCATACAAACCATACATTCCATACATAAAAATCCATACCATACATGATTGCTATATACCCCATTTTTATAGCTTAGCTTTATGTTTTAGCTACTTACCTGACTCGACGCTGCGCCTAAAATAAAATAAAAAGGCGGTTTATTTTTACCCGCGGTACCAAAAATCCGCATATTTAATAAAGAAGTTTAAAAGAAATCGACTAAAAAAAAATCGTTAAATATATTTAATTGCTGTGGTGCAAGATAACGATCCCAAATTTTTATGATTAGGTTTTTAGTTTTCTTATTGTTTGAGAATATTTTTACAGATTTCTTTCGGACTTGGATTACTTCAGGTTGTATAGGTAAGGTTTTTTTTTAATCAAATTATTAATATTTTTTTAAATTTTATTTTTTATTAATATTTTTTTTTTTAGGCGTTGCAGGCTGCAAAAAACTTTTTTTTTTTTTATTAGCTTCATATTGGCTTGGTTCATTTTTGTCAAATCTAATTTTAAATACAAAAGGAATGATATTATAAAGTAATGCAATAACAGGCGGGGTGATATTTGATCTGTGAGTTACGTTTCTGGCTTCCCTAGTTATAAAAATACAATCAGCGGCTAAATTTTAATTAAATTTTTGCCAAAATTATAACAAAATCCGACTGGAACTTTGAACGTGGAATATTATATACTACAGTAAGAACTCGATATAACGATTCGCGTTAAACCGATTTTGGCCTATAACGAATTATTTTCTTAAACCAAAACCACTTATTAAAAAATTTATCACAATACGCCGATTTTAATATCAATTTCGCGATATGGTTGTAAACCAGCTATAATTTATTTATGCTCGATAAGTCGATCACGATTTTCTCGATATACCGATTTTTTCTGATCATCATCGTTATAAAATATACTAATATAGTAAAATATCAAATGTTAAAAAATTAATATAATTCGGAAGATTTTGTTTCCTTTATTAATCATCTTTACATGTCTTCTGAAAAAAGCATAATGCATTGTTTATGGGACAAAAGCAAGAACTTTGATAAACAATCGGAATCTTCAATCCAATTGAGTTTTATTAGTTTCGATTAGATTCTTCTTTTTTGTTCTCAAATTTTTACAAATAATTACAATAAAAAAATAATATAGCATACAATAAAACAAATAATAAATAATAAACAAATAATAATTGAAAAGCAACCATTTTAATAAAATGAAAGCCATCGTTTGGCCTGTAATAGAATGATAAAGTTTCGAATATGTTGTAAAGTATTAATTATCATCAATAACTGACGACTACATGAATACACATTTAGGATCATTACTGTCAGACCCTTTGCTGCGCCTCAAAGTTTCTTAATAAATATCGATCGATTATTTCTTGATGCGTCGTCGCGTTGCGTGCACGCAAACGTTTATTTCAAACAAATATATATACAGATTTATTTTAACAAAAAATTTGAAAGCAAATGAGTTATTGAATTTATAAAGTAACTATGTTGTGACGACTGGTTTGTATGTTACTCATGAACCATCCAATAAGAGACACTTTCAAAATTATTGTAATTGTTTTTAATTATAATCTATCCAACATTTACAGTGGTAATTAAATTCACTCATTAAAATTAACCACGAAATTTTAAAGCCAATTATTTTACAAATCATATATTTATTTAAAAGCACATGTTTATAATAAATAAATTTAGTTAATTTGCAAAAATAAAAGTATTACTAGTTCAAATATCAACATGTAATTGACGTATAATTTTAATAGACAATTTTCATAAAGGAATGCTCATTTCTAGTTAAACACAAAATGTTTTTGATTAAGCTACTACGCTATTAAATCACGAAATGACTTTTCTTTTTTTTTTTAAAGGAATTTCGGTATAATATATTTTTAAAAATTTTAAATATTTCAATTGAAGTTAATATGATATCACATTTAGAAGTTAGATTTAGGTAATTTTTTTAACATCCGTTTCTAGCTCTTTAAACAATAAAATTTCGTCACTACTTTCAATAACTTGATATGCAATGATTGTAACAGAAGATCGATCATTTTAAATTTTTTTGTTACGAGAATCAAATATAATATTGTTTATGATTGTCTTGAGGATAATTTTATTATTTGATTCAGGAAATCTTTTACACATTCGGGTATTATTATATCTTTGTAACGTAATTCCAATTAAAAGATCATTTCTATCGTTACACTGTTGAAAGTCTGAACTAAAGAATTTTATCGTTAATAGATAATGATAAAATTTCAATTTTATATTATTTTTAACAAATGAAAATACATATAAGAAATTTTTTAAAAAAATACTTTGAAATTTACTAAATTCACTATGGAAAACTCGGCCTGCAATTTTTGTCCGGTCCGTTATCGAACATGAGCAGGGTTGGGTATTTTGATTAAAGACGTATATCTCAGCCGATACAATAAATTTAAGTTTAAAAAAAGTTCACTAAGAATATGTTTTCAAATAATACCGTCACAAAATGGTGCTGGATCAGGACATTGATCAGATGTCACAAAAGCGTAAAACTATGTAATCATCATTAAGAGGACAAGTAATTTGAATGCATTGTTATTAAGTTTCTGCTTGATTATATATTATTTTTGTTTGTATTTTTGAAGATTTTTTTTTTTATTTTTGTTTAAAGTTTGAATTTCTTAAAAAATTTTTTTTGATAGATATGACGCATCCTTTTTATATTTAAGAACTAGATCAGGTTGAGATGCGGCGACTCTGTCGCCGCTAAATGATCTTTTTTTCTAGGTATTATCTATCGTGCAAAATTTGATTTTTATATTTTGGAATAAGATGGTAAATTTAAAAGTAATGGAAAAAGGAAGAAACAATTAGTAAAAACAATTAATCCTTACTTTAGGTTCGGTCATAATGGATGCAGGATCTTCAAACAGATCTTGCGGTTCTGCTAAAGGCTATGTGCGCAGGTAAGTGACGAATTTTAAAATCCTCTTCTTTTTCTATTGTTTGTCTCTTTTCCTTGATTTGGTTATTATCAACAATATATTTTATTAATTTTATAGGATTAAGTCGAATTCTTCCTTTTCGGATAAAGGCGGAGCTATGTTTTCATACTACGAATTACACTAAGCCCTTCAGAAAATACTATAATTTCGTCACGCACCTGACTGGAGCCGCCGTGACGAATCGACCGATCCGAATCTAAAGAAATCGCTATAGAAGATGGAAAAATTTAAAATAAATAATAAAAAAAGCGGATTAGTAATCCAATCAATGCAAAAAAAAAAAAGGATCGAATCGTCACGCACCGCCGTGACAACCAAAGTTGCGATCTAACCTATAAAATCATAAATCAAAAAAAAACAAATAAAATTATTAATCAATAACTAGAATTGCGCTATGTCGTTTTGCCACCAGGGTATTCGATTTAACTTTCATGTTTTTATTATGTTTGTATTATTATGCATTATTTTTATGGACAATATTATCATCTGTTGTAGCTGGTATAAACGCTATGTGAACGCGACATTTTTTTAATTCTCGTTACGCTTTGTCATTATTATCGATAATAATAAATGCTTAATAATCTCATAATGGAGATTGATGTAGAATCTTGGGGCGCGATTTAATTACGAAAATCAATAACATTCTTTCAACGACATGAAACATATGCGCAGAGGAAATCTTGTTTTCAAATCTCCCATCGTACATCCTTATTCTTAAAAAATTCGACAATTAGGTCTTCTTAAAACGATTCTTCGTTCATAAAATAGTTCTTTATTGTTCATAACCAACCAACTAGGTAATACAAGTATCAACTCAACTAGTACACAAAAACTCATAACTTTGGGAACATCTGGTAGAAGTTTTAAGTAAGAAATGCGGATTTTACTTTACAAGAACAAAGTAATAACCGTCGTAATATGGTTGAACACCTTCGATCCCAACTGGAATCGAACCTTTGATCA